CCTAACCCTAACCCTAACCCTAACCCTAACCCTATAACCCTAAACCTAACCATATTGACATATCAAATAGTGACCAGGGTACGTTCCGGTATACCGGACCGTACCCAGGGTACGTTCCGGCAGTACCCTGGGGGACATAGACCCTATGAGCATTACTGCTGTTTGTGCTCACTCAATGAGCAGCTGGCTATCCTGTCTGAGGTGTTACTTACGATGGTGATCTCCTGGATGAGTTCCTCAGACACCTCCTCCGGGTAGAACTTGGCGCGGAATCTGAACTGTAGTGGCGTCTCCTTCTTCACATCCTGGCTCATCACCTGAATTAAAACGATCATATAGTAACCGCGTACATATAGACACATGCACACAAACACATACTCATTCACGTGCACGCACAGACACGGGTGCACTTACTCAAACACGACACTCAAATTCCACATGAAAACTACATGTTATACTCAATGCAAGTTTTTCCAGTCCTCCTGTGCCCATGGAACAACTATATATTCAACACTGATTCGACAGGTGTGAGCTGAAAGACATGCAGTTGCACAATCCCCTAGTGATGTCCCAACGTACCTTCTTGTTTAGCTTGAGCCAGGTTGCAAAGCCTTTACTATCAGTGTAATTGAGACCAAAGAACCAGATTTCTCTCAGTCCTATGGTCTTGACAACCTGAAGCACGCAAATTTATCGTCAGCTGTAAAGTCATGCAGTGTCTCTTTACCAAAATCGTAATGCGTAGACACCTTCAAGGTAGCGGCATACCTAAACCTATCTAACCTAGAAGAACACTCACACATGGTCATAAGGCACTAACCAAGTTACCACTATTCTCTCCCAAACCCACTACAGTCTCAATGCAGTTTCATTGCGGGTTGCTTCCCCTATATTAACTATGCTTAATTGCAATCATTACAAATTTTATAATAAATAAATAAATGAAATCATTTCTTTATCAACTTGGCAAAAACTTGATTGCTATGAGCGGGAGGAGAGAGTGCTTTAGCACGCTTCAGTTAGTAATGTTATCAACTACATGTCAAGCTGCCTACATTAATGACTTCCACAAATGCTAGTCTAGTGACACGATGATCTCTCGAGACACGTTGTCATTTACATGCTGCAAAACTAACGACAGCACACGCTACAATAAACAGGTTAGACCTGTTAGCTACCATAAGAGCTCTCATCTGAGCTTGCCAGTCACCTACACTAACCACCAATAATCACGAGCAATTCAGAGTGAATTAGAAATTTAAACATGCGTTTTCTTAATTGAACGGATATCATTAGCTGCTCTGATCTACTCCGCAACATTCGGTTTAGCACATAAGGATGAATTAAAAACAATTACGCAGATTAAGTTCCCTATTGTAGCCATGACTCAATGTTTACATTACATGATGCACCCAGATATTCTATTATCCTTTAAATGCAAACGACGGAAACAGCAAGTTAGGTAGGTTCGACTGAAAACGACGGTTTTTATAGTAACTTGAGTGCAGCAATGGCGAGTTATCCATTAAGTGCACGGTACTATCATCCCACACTGCTCCGAATGCATTGCCCGATTTCATAAACTAAATACAATATGAGCATCGACGTGGAATACTGTGTACTACATAAGTGGATCGTGTATAAACTTCCACAGGGTTTCTTCTGAGGGAAAATTAGACAAAGGAGGTAATGGCCAGTTGGGGAAAAAAATGCACATGATGGATTCAACTACAGGATGTATTGATATACTTATAGGTATATAGACACAGGATATATTTATCATTAAATACAGAAACATTTTCACAGCGGCGATGTTAAATTTGACAACGGCGGTGCGCCACTGTGCCTCTTATGTATAAGAAACCCTGTTCCAGTTCATCAACCGTGACATGTGCTCACTCTCACGCAGGCCACTCAGTCCACTGTTGACGATTGAAACGAGTGACACTGATGACACTTTGATGACATGCAATGGATTGGAAATGGGCAAAGATAAAGACCACCGATAAAAATACCAGAGCAACACAGACTGGGGAGAAGGTAAGCAAGGAAAATAGAGAATGATGGAAAGAAAAAGAAAGGGAGTAAGAAAGGTTTGAAGGTAGCAGAGAGAGAGAAATCGGGAAAGATAAAGATGGGGATGGTAATTGAGAGGGGAGGAGGAGTGAGAAAGAGAAATACATACAAAGAGATAAACAGGGTTGAGGGAGGGGGAGGAGGGAGGGTGTTAGTCTGGGAGAGATACGGAGATAGCAATACAAAAGGGAACTTCAGTAGATATTGCTTTTGCACATTCAGTAAGTGTTCTTAATCTTATATATTCAAAAATGAAATACATCAGGGTAATTAATGCAAATGCAGCCCTGGCATCGTAGCACCATTCATACTTTCAATAATGTCTAGCTCACATACCAATGCAAATGTTAGCATAACTTTCTAACTCAGTAAGAAATAATGCAGTGTTATTGTTATACACATATATATATACATTGCACTGCCACCCCCCCCCTCATTAAACAATGTAGTCAGAGCAAACAGGCCAGCAGATTACAGAATAAGGAATTCGGCTTATACGGTCCACAGATTTCCGCATGAGTGTAGGTGCCAGTTTCCTTTCCAACAGTTTGACACAGCTATGAATGACCATGTACGGTGAAGGTTAAGGGGACATGCAATGTGTGTGAGTGAATTGGTGGGAGGAGGGGGTTACGCTTCAATCAGCAGTAATTGGGCGACAGAACACGCAGACCCTGCAGGAATTCGTGCCAGGGGGCACTAGCATTCCAATGCCGTACAAACTGTATTGGCAAGGACTGAGCAACATTTATGCTTACACACGCATTGTTGTACCATAGTTAAAAACCATCTATTCTGTGGGATTATATCTACAGACAAATATTGATACTGATAGTGAGATGGCACGTTTTCTTGAACACGATTGAAAGTCAGATCAGGTACATTTCGTGACATTTCAAAATAGCCGTGAGAAGCTAAGAAACTTTTTAACAATAACAGCCCATGTAAGCTCATCTATCTCAGAGCACACCTACATGAGAATTCATGACAGATAAATGAATCGGTTATATTTGCACAGTGTAAGTGTAACTACGTGATATTACAACAGGTAAACTAGGGTTTGACATGCATTCAAATTGATAAAAAAAAAACTCTTGGTGTTATCATTAATCACTGTGCTTCAACCTATCAGTCAGACATGCAATGAAAACGTGAGAATGATGAGGTTGAAATGCAAGCTGGGATAGAAATCTAACTGGCATAAGAAGCTGACAGCCCACCTGGTCAAATAGCTGTTTGCCGGTGGTGTTAGGCTGGATAGCAAACTCCAGCTCAGCGTCCATAGTCGTCACCCGCACATTAATCTAAAAGAAATGAAAATTGTAATGCTAAGAAACCTTCCAGCAAGCTCTCACCCCCACACATCACAGCCAATAATTATGTATTGTTAATGCACATCTAATAAAAATTAAATGTAAAACAGGCAATTTTTAAAAAGGTGTATGAGCCGTAGGTACTGTTTAATAGATTATGCTATATTATTGACTTCCACACACCCAAACCCGGCATCTGTTTGAGTTGAGATCATAGCCTAGGCATTGGGCCGTCCCATGTGTGGACAGTACAGTAGTATAGATAAAGAAACAGCTACTAGGTGTGCATGCAGTGGCATCACTAACATTAACATTGCCAAATATGCATGACATGGTTGAAATTTCTACTTACGACAAATTCGTCATTAATTTATTATGGCACATTTGCTTAAAACTTCCAAAAGCAAACGAATGTCTAAACACTAACGGAAGAACTTGCACGCATACTTATTCTCACTGGCAAAAGTAAATAATCTGAATGCATGCTGGTACATTTAATTTAAAGAGAATTGTATGTTGAGTTACTCACTGGCTTGGATGGCATTTTGCTTGATGTTCTTGGTGCGTTGCACTATCAAAGGTTTCAAACACTTTCCCTGCAACATTAGGTGTGACAATGTTACCATTAAACAGTGTGTTGGTACTTAACCCGACCAGGCTGTGTGACTAACGTCAATACACCTAGGTATTCTAACCCTAGCAATACCGTTTCTTGGAGCTAGTTGGTACTGTACTAATATTATTAAATCACACCCCGATTCATCCTGAAGTGAAGGCTGAAGTATCAAGCTTTTCTGCATAGGTCATCAGGTGAATCAAATCCTCTTCAATTACCACATAATATATATATATATAGTTCATAATATATAATATATTATACCATATTACATTATTATTATTATTTATATTATATATAGTTTGTCAAACTATATATAATATAAATTATAATAATAATAATGTAATTAATATATTTAAATTTACTTTCGCACATTTCACATCTGTCTCGGCATTTGCTCTCAGTCTCAGTAATTCCCTGTAATCCTACAAACAGTTACGCGGTTCATGCCGCAGAAACCTTTGCTGTACCGCCAGCAGAATCCGAACTTAAGTCCGACCATGGACACCTTGACCGAGTACAAAAATGACGTCCCTAGTCTAGAAGACATGTCCCACAATACTTCATGTCTACAATACAATACGTACACAATGGGTCATGTCTTCTAGACTAGCTGAGAGGGTCTATGTCTCCCAGGGTACTGCCGGAACGTACCCTGGTACTATCTAATATGCCGGACCGTACCTCGCCTACTCCACTAACGAGTCTAGAGAGAGAGAGAGGGAAAGAGAGAGAGAAATAGACAGAGGAGCGAGTGAGAGAAAGAGAGATAGAGAGAGGAGTGAGAGAGAGAGAGAGAGAGAGAGAGAGAGAGAGAGAGAGAGAAGAGGAAGGAATGGAGGGTGAGAGGGAGGGAGGGTGGGAGAGGAGAGACACCTCACGTATGATCTGAGTTTAAACAGTTTAATATACCATATGTGTGAGAGAGGGTTGCACTTAACATATTACCATGCATTTTATTTCTAAAAATTACATTTCACTCAGTAATAGTACATTACTAGTAGTTATTTTAGTACTAGTAGTATTTATAGCACAACTGATAACCTTTGTTGTTGTCTGCATGGAACAATACTGCAGTGACTAGCTGATAACTAGAGCTAAGTAGAGATCATGTGATAACGAGTGATTTAAAAAAAAAACGTTGAAAAGATAGTGATTGGTATCGCAATCAGAGCATTGGTATCGCAATCGAATCAATTAGAGCAGCAGCCGCACCCGACATACAGCATTCTGGCGGCAAGTGCGATGACCCCTCTCCCCCTCTCTCCACTATCCAACCAGCCAGCGGGCAGTTATGATGCAAAGATGCAATGCTCGTACGATAACCCCGTGAAGCAATCCTCGAATTTTATGGCGACTTTATTATACAGCTGCTGGCACCACGCAGAAACACACAGGATCACAGCGTCGGTTAGCATTTGCTGTGTGCATGGGCGACCTACAGTGGCTGCACCCCTCAACCCACCTGTTCAGGGTCCACTATACAGGCGAGGGCCTGCCTACCTGCAGTACGCGCGCCGTAAAGTGACCTACATTTGTCAACGGAGGATGCCTTGCCTACGCGCGCCCCGCGCGTATGCGATAACAGTTCGGGTGCGACGTCGGTAATCGTTGCCGCCACGAATGTAATTGCGGGGGCGCCGATTATAGGCCTAACTGCCACACGGCGAGCGACCAACGCAGACGCGGCAGACGCACTCCGGGGAGAAAGTTTTCACGCGATTTCGCAAATAACCAGTAGTTGCTGCCCGCCCCGTACTAACTGGGCCGGCTATGCTACCCACAAGTAGTATAGTAGTCTACACGCGCGTTATCTGTGCAGAGAGATAACTCAAGCGCATGTGGCAGGGCGAAAGGCTATAGTTATAGAGCTATGCAGAGAGAGTACTACTAACCGATATCGCGTCGTACACAGAAGCTCGTGCGGTAGTGCGGGTTGTTATATTGCATCTCGTCCTGCTAACCCATTCCGCAGCGCTGTGATTGTTCATGAAGGTAGTGATTGCGACATTAATCAGGGTAACTGTTAGTTGCGCGGACAGATGACGACGCGACATATACGGGCGGCTTTTATAGCTGCAGTCGCCGCGCGCGTAATTGATCGCAGTGTCTCCGCGCGACGCGTCCTCACACAATCACACGATGCCCATCATAATGACAGATCGAGAAAATGCAACCAAGCATCGCCGCGAATGACTATTCTGAACAGAATTCGACGCGTGCGGTTCTCATTGTTCTATTCTTGCCACCTTCCGCAAACGACCTGACGTGCCGGGCACGCACTTGCCTTGGTGTTGGCGACTTGACGATATTTACGTGCGTTTACATGCAGCTTGATCGAGAAGTAGAACGTGATGTCCACTATCAGGCTATGTAATCAGGGTCATGTACAGCAGGATTTATTATATCTGAATAGATCTTCATTATCTATCACGTAGTGTGTTTAGTCAATAACATGTGTAGTCTATGCTATACTCCCCAACCTACGCACACGTGGCAACTCTTGGTGCTGACTTTACTGACTTTTACTGACTTTACTGGGTGTTATTACGGCTAATGCTCCATTAGGAGTGTTCCCAACTTTAATATCATTAATGATTAATGATTAATGATTGATAATCCCAACCCTAACCCTAACCCTAACCTAAACGCACATCCTCCCCAAACCTAAAGAAAAGGGGGTGATTAGTTTATGAAGCTTTCTTAAGCATGTCTCAGAGTTAACTCATATATATGCTGCGGCAATCAATCCGCTCCTCCCAACAACAGCCGCTCCGTAACCACCTGGCAAAAACCTACTTTCTTCTCCCCTCACGGGAACTTGATTTACAACACTTATTGTCCAACCCTACTGGCAGGAATCTTGTAATTTCTCCCTAATAACTTGGAAAGGCAACCAGCTGATCTCTGTGGATGCATAAAATTTGCACTGGGGGGGTTCAGGTTTCGGTAGTCGTTGTGGGATAGGGGAAAAGGATTGGTATATGGTCCAGGAATTTGCCATATATGCAGGTATACTTCGTTATGCTGGTGAGTTCCATGGGGCAGAACCTCATACGCTATGTCACGGCCTATTGTTTTAGGGCGAAGTCTAGGGAGTCGTCGTGGTGTTTGGAGGAAGAGCACTGCTACGCACAGCTTTAACGTGTGCTATCCCCATGAGTGATACATTTGGGCCAGATATTGATGAAAGAGTTTTACAGATTATTAAGGGGGGATATACAAGATATATACAAACTGGCTGGGTCAACAGCGATGCGTACACACTATTTGCTGATGTTTACGATCCCGACGGGGCGAGTGACAGGCAATATAGGTCATGAGCGAACGGTGTCGACCACGAACCTCTGCGAACGTGAGGCAGGCAGCCTAACAGCAACGTATATTGTCACGGGCTGCGCAGCTAGATTGCCGTCACCAGCACGTAAATTTGTTTATACGACGCGTTGGGTTTTTGTATATAGCCAGGCTGGCGCCTGGAGCGCGCAGAGCTGCGTGCATGATTGGCGGTTGGGGGGGGGGGGGCCCACTACTAAGCTTGCAAGATAGGTCATGATTAGCTCGGTATGCTATGGTTGGCGTCGATGTCAAATCTCGCCTCGGGAGCGCGACAACGCCACCATTTCCTGACACTCCCTCCGCAGACAGGAAGCAAGAGCGGCGAGGCGTCAGCGGGAGCGAATCGTGCTGGCCGTTTTTGTGCTGATCATAGGGCGCGCTCTAGGTTGATTAATGGCCAAGAGATTGGAGAATCGTGTCGTATGTTTTAGGTTCGTATCTTCGGATTGCGTGGTCCCTACGAGGGCCAAAGAATTTGCGTAGATGATGGGCGAATGGTACTGTGGGTCGCGATTATTGAGGGCTCAATTGGATTGAGTTAACGCGTCAGTAAGATCGGGTAGGTCTCTTTTAAATTTTTTATAACGGCTAGTAAATGATGATTTGCCTTGGTTTATTGTTGTCACCCCCTCCTCCCCTGTATTATACACTCTGATATACAATATATATATATATACTATATATATATATATGGTCATGGTCAGTATATTAGGTTTGTGGTTAATGTCAT